AATGGCGGATCGATCGGATCCTGAGGAAGGATCGGAATCAAGAGAAATCCTTTCCGACCCTCGAATCCCGCGGCTGCATGCTCTCGAAGAGTCCGATCGTAGCAGAAAGGGATCGCAACCCTAGCGAGACATCCCGCGTGCCATGAAGGAAGACCAAGGCCCTCAGAGTCATTCCGTCTGGAAAAAGACTTCAAAGGAGTATTCTACTCCTCCGAAGGCTCGGGGGCTACTGTCGGGTATCGATATTAGGGATACCCGGAAGAAGGAAATTAATAGCCACGAACGATAATTCGCCCGGATGGTCCGAGGCGTATTTAAAGTCTCGCTCGGCCACGAGGGTGTGCCCCAATCTCGCCCGACCCCGAGGGCGCGAGCTCCGCCTTGTCAGACCCCTTAGGCGCGGGCCCCGTCTTGCCCGACCCCTCGGGCGCGGGCTCCGTCTCGCCAGACCCCTCGGGCGCGGGGACTTCGTTTCGCCATACCCTTCGAGGGGGGATTCCGCCTCGCCCGACAGGGGTTTGTACCACTTCCAGCCACTACGGATCCAAGAGTATGGACCTAGGGTCAAACTTCTGATACCGAAAAGGAAGTAGGCGCACCTTGACGTGACCCATGGCCACGACAGGCCATACCTAGGAGTTCACGTCACCAACAGTGTCGGGCGTGCCGGCGATATGTTGCCCAACGCCCGTACGGCTCCTGACAAGAGTACTTATTGACCATGCCGCCCACCGGGACGGGATGGAGCGCCACGGGCGACTGACGATGCCCGCGTATAGCGCCAGTGGCGAACAGGGTCGCGACATGGAGCCATTTCCGTCATCGTCTACAAGACCGGCGGGACCCACGTAAAGGACGACGAAGGGCGCTCCAACCCCAGAGGCCTTCTTCCTCCTCGCTTCTCTCTCTTTCTCTTTCTCTCGTGTAACCTGCGTCTTCCCCTCCACCTATAAAAGGGGAAGCAGGACGCCCCGCAGGGGGCACGGCTAAAACAAGCTCATTTAGACTCGACTTCGTTCGATCTTTCACCAGAGAGTTGAGACATTTTCCCTCTCTCGCCTGTTTGTAACCCCTACTGTAAATTAGTGCTGGTAACACGAGCAGCAGCAGACTGGACGTAGGGACATTCCGCCCGACCAGTATAAATCCTTGTGTCCTCCGAGCACACCATCCGGGCCAGACACGCAAATCACAAATTTACTTGCCGGTGATTCGAAACACCGACAACATTATATTGTTAAATTATTTGCTAGTTTGGGTCTGAATTCTCTATAGCATCCTTTCTGGGGAGATTTATTGCACTCTGGTAAATGAGTACTCGTTCTGCTTGCTGTAGAAAGCTAGAAGCCAAGCAAATGATGCAAAAGCAGAAGGAAACAAGCTTTTTGGTGCTGGACAATATGAGGAAGCATTATCACAGTATGAAATGGCGTTGCAAATTGCTGCTGAGCTGGAATCTGCTGAGGATATACGTGCTGCATGCCATTCTAATTGTGCTGTATGCTTCCTGAAATTGGTAAGCAATTTTCCTGATTGGAACATAACTTTGGTGGGCAGAGAAAAATATACAGATTTGTGTGCCATGATTACTCCTTAATGTCGTGAAAATTCAGTAGTACAGTGTGGTTATGTATTTTTCATAAAGATCGTGCCCACTGGCCCACGGCCACTACTGTTATCCCCTGATCGATATGATTCCTTCTTACTGTTTTCACCTACAGAGGGCTTGTCCTTGCACTCCTGTGTAAGTTTGCTAGCAAATGCTGTTTTGAATATGCTGCCTGAACTTGCTAGACTCAAGCTGTTTTACCTGGTGTTTTGGTAGTCAAAATCCTTTGATTTGCTCTAGTTTTGCTAAATATTTGCACTTGTTTAGTCTAGTTTCAAATATGTGTACTATTCACCTTAGTCTCTTAGTTATTTACTTGGACCACCACATCTGTCGAATAAAGATGTTTTTTGTCTCCTTACAGGCAGACCCCAATGCTGATTTTTGTGTTATTAGGGAAAACATGATGAGATGATTAAAGAATGCACAAAAGCACTTGAGCTCAATCCAACATACGTGAAAGCCCTGCTTCGGAGGGCATCGAATAAAGTCTCGTTACAAGCAGACCCCAATGCTGACTTTTGTGTTATTAGGGAAAACATGATGAGACGATTAAAGAATGCACAAAAGCACTTGAGCTCAATCCAACATACCTGAAAGCCCTGCTTCGGAGGGCAGAAGCGCATGAAAAGCTTGAACACTATGATGAAGCTATTGCCGGTTAGATGTTTTTTCTCCTATGTGATTTTTTATGTGTCAATTTCACATTATTGCCACATAAGCATGCATAATTTTTTTCAAGTTCATAAGTTCTGATTGCTGTGAATCTATCACTGTTTATAGATATGAAAAAGGTTATTGAAGTGGATCCTTCAAATCAACAAGCCACGAGGTCGCTTTTCCGACTTGAGCCCCTGGCAGTTGAGAAGAGGGAAAAGATGAAGGAAGAAGTGATTGGTAATGTGCTGCCTTTTTCAAGTATCTCAAACAGCGTTATTGGCGCTTTGTGACATCATTGTGGAAAGCTATAGACATCTCTTCTGTAAAGTGGCTTCTCTTGCTGCGCTTGTTTGTTTTAGGAGTACATGCAGACGCAGATCTCTGCTGTCATGTTATATTCTTTCAAGAAACACTCGGTGATGAAATGTGAAGTGCTTATGAGTTAGGATATATTGTGTGCAAGGAAAATGCCAAAGTTTTACATTGCTCATAAAGCTTACCACTGAACAACATTAAATTTCAATGCCCTCCTTTTGTTATCAGGATATGTTTGTTTTTTACTGATAATCTCATGTGCCGTTGTGCCTAGTGATCAAGTAATGGACATGTTTTTCTTTTGGCTACTAATGGACCCATGTTATCTCTTGCAGCAAAGCTGAAAGATCTGGGGAACTCTGTGCTGGGCCGCTTCGGAATGAGTGTTGACAATTTCAAAGCCGTCAAAGATCCAAACACTGGTTCTTACAGCATTCAACTCCAGAAGTAACACGCCGTGAAGAAAGACATGGATGGATGAATATGGCTGGGTGGCATATTTCAGTTGTAATTGTTCAAGGCACTTGTGCGTCACATACCTGGACCATATCCAAATAGATACCTGCAAATCGATCTGAAGGTGGGACATGGAAGAGGAATTGGATTATTGCGTTGCGTTTGCACTTGTCGCACGTTAGACTGTTAGAGATGCTTTCCCAAGTGCGAACTTGCATGATCATTTTGGACTCTGGTATTTTCCTCAATACAAAGTAGTTTTTTCTATGTTGTAACGACGCCTTCTCGTTTAAAAGACTGCATTTCCATGCGGTTCAAATATCCCAGTCGATGATGGCGATACGTTCCTGTAACTTAGCTTTGAAATTGTACACCTTTCAGGACTGATATTGCATTTAATATTAATGTATCTTCATGAATGGATGTAAAATGAAACTGTTTTCACAGAGGTTATATAACCTGAATATGTGCCTTCATAAGTCAACGTAATCCAAAATATCTATATATGGTAATGTTCATGGTACATCTCTCTACGGTTCATTTTCAGGATAATGTTATTTGATAATTCTTGATTATCTATATCCATATGTTGTTTTAGTTTTAATCATGATGGACCGAGGTCGACCATTTGAGAACATCAACCATATTTGCCTTTTCTATGCCCATCAACAATGAGCAAGAACTCCCCAAGGCAACAATTTTTGTCTTGTCTACGACAATCAACAATCGAGCAAGAACTCCCTAAGGTATTGTCGAGCATAGGATGATCTTTTGAATGGGAAAAATAGTAGAGCGAGTCTGAGCTAAGGTCTCAGCCTAGGAAAACTCTAACGGTTTCTACCACATGTCTAGAGATGAACCTAATAAGGGGAAGTTGTATGCATGCCTATGCGTGCATCATATATAGAGTTGCAGTTAGCACATCATGAACTTCGATATCAGAACACCCCCCCACCCCAAAAAAAAAAAAAAAAACTAAACCGTCACTACGTCTTCACCGAGATGATGGTGCTTGATTTTGTGACTCTAGATTTCTGCTATGTAATTGTGTTTAGTTTCAATCATACTTATAGAAACCTCAACAATAAAACATTACTTGCTATAATCATAGATATGTGCGTGTCGCACGTGTACGTCCACTATTATAATCAAAACCACCTTTGAAACCAGAACTGATCTCTTCCTTACTTCACAACCACAGCATTTATGCTTTTCTTATTTGACATGCAAACAATCATGCTTTCCTTATTTGACACCACATAGTTCTGATATAGATAGGGACATATGGGCCATTTTGGTGGCCACTTAATACTATTAGTGAAGGAAATGGACGGTAATGCCAAATAGAGAAGGAAATTTCAACTCGGTGCTAATAAGGAACTTCGATTTCGAGAGTGCCTTAGAAGGAAGACCGATTTATTTCAGTGTCAGATAAATAATTCTCTCATGTATATATCACTTCTAGATATTCCATTTATTCCAAATTATAAATTATTTTGGTTTTTCTATATACATTGCTTTTACATAACATATATCTAGGTTCATTATATATGTAGAAAAGTCAAAACGACTTATATAATTTAGAACAAAGGGAGTACTATACTCCCTTTGTTCTTTTAAGTGTCACTATTGTTTTTTTTAAGTGTTGACGGCGGAACGTGGGAACGACCGTTAAAAAAGGGGTTGGGAGTAGTTGACAGTCCACGTGGGCCCAAAGAAACGCAGAATGCCCGTGAGCCGAATCAAGGCCCACGAAGCCACCAACGAAGCCTGCATAGATCCATTCCGCTGGCCCGTCAAATGGCAGCCGTCCGATGAAGCTCTAGGGTTTTACTCTCCCGTATATAAGCCTGCCCACAACCCCGCCTCAAAAACCTTAGCCGCACGGACGCCCACCAGCACCTGCCCCCCTCGCCGTCTCCGCCTCGCCCCGCGCGACCGATCCAACGCCGCGGCCACCATGGTAACCTCCCCCTCCCACTCCTCTCCGCTGCTTCTTGGTGTGCATATGGTTTTCTATCGTGTCCTGATTCCGTGACGATGTTGTGGCCGCAGTCGCTGATCGCCGGTGAGGACTTCCAGCATATCCTGCGTCTACTGAACACCAACGTGGATGGGAAGCAGAAGATCATGTTCGCCATGACCTCCATCAAGGGTGTCGGGCGTCGCTTCTCCAACATCGTCTGCAAGAAGGCCGACATCGACATGAACAAGAGGCAAGCACCTTGCTTTCTCTCCGGGGATCTTTATCAGATCTCGCTTGTGACGATGGGGCTGATACGTTGTGACTTGTCGGTGGGCGTGCAGGGCCGGCGAGCTGACGTCTGAAGAGCTGGAGCGGCTGATGACGGTCGTGGCCAACCCCAGGCAGTTCAAGGTGCCGGACTGGTTCCTCAACAGGAAGAAGGACTACAAGGACGGCAGGTTCTCACAAGTGGTCTCCAACGCCCTCGACATGAAGCTCAGGGACGACCTCGAGAGGCTCAAGAAGATCAGGTATACTTGTCATTTATTCGTTGAGAAATGATGCTGTTAGATGACATTCGTATACTTGTCATTTATCTGTAGGCTTTCGTAACTATAGCAACATGTCATACTGGTCTAATACGCTAATATTAGCTCATGTTTATACTAGTCTGAATTATTGATTTCGTTTGTGTTGCTGACAGCCAGTTGTATTAGCTATGAAGTTGGGAAATGTCTATCTAGTAGCATTTAGGGTATACCTGAGCATGTTTGGGCCTTTAGTTACCTACAATGATGTGCTATCATGCATATCTACACACACAAGCAAGTATGCTGGGTTATTTGAACTGTCATTGATGATTGAGGCCTACATTGTGCACTGCTTGCTTTCTCCATCCGATGGTTAGTTGGCCTGGTATATGTCAATGAAATGAGAGGGAAACCTGATGGACACAGGATACTGTTGGTTGGCCTTATGGTCATTGTTACAGAAGTTTGGTTAGGTTCACAGTGATTTTAGAACTGTCGGATCGAACTAGTTGAGACTTGACTGAAGTAGCTCTGGGTATATGTGTTTTGAGTCCAAGTAGCTGCAGTGTAGCCATTCTAGCCAACTCGCAATAGCAGATAATCTGCTCATGCTCAGTCCTGACTCCTGAGTCTTGGGTATCTTGCTGGTCACTTCCAAAACAGTTTTAGCATTGTTATCTCGAGACATCCAATCTTTAGTGTCAGCATACATGTTGTGCCCAACTGTCCGTAGTGCATTCTCTTGTAATGTCAGTGTTGATGACCATTCTGGCTTTGTGAATATAATATGTAGTTGTATCATTGTAGTATCTCAGGTCTTCAAATTCAGAATTCTGTTTATCATTATATGTGTATGTTCCCTAAATCATCACTTACATCTACTTGTTTTGCAGGAACCACCGTGGTCTGCGTCACTACTGGGGCCTCCGTGTCCGTGGCCAGCACACTAAGACTACTGGCAGGCGTGGAAAGACTGTCGGTGTCTCCAAGAAGCGATAAGCTAGCAGCGGCTTATGGCAACGGCAGCAGCTTTTTAGCTGCAGCGAACGAGCCTTACCTTCCAACAAATCTTATGAAGGGTTTCTGTTTAGACAGTTTCCTGAAATGATGTTTTGCCCTAGGATAATCTTGCAGTTATGGAACCTTAATATATTGTATCCTGCAATGTGTTTTTTCCCCAACTTCTAAGAGTGATTTTATTTTGACGAGACTTCTGCTGATTGACTCCTTGCCGTGTTCATTGTTGTCTCGAGAAGTGCCATCCCAGAGCAGGTATTCACATGTCCGTGGCGGATAGGTTTTTTTAATCATCGTTTTCCACGATGCAAATCATAGCCGCCTACTGCATTTTACAAGTTTGGTTCAGCGAAAGCTGCTGATTTATTGCTAAGTTTGGTTTAGCGAAAGCTGCTGATTTATTGGTCTGGTGGTACACATAATTGATGAAAGTTTTGCCAAATCAGATTTCCGCATTGTTCGTACACGCATGTTAACACTTAGCAATGCCATAGCCTCACGTCATCTACACACCATGACCTGTAGGCTTCATTTTAATTTCGACTACAGTTAAGGTGGTATGAAACATCCGCAAGCTGGTTGTGCACGTGGATTTTGATCATAAAACCTGCGACCACAAACTGTTTAAATTAAACTCTGCATTTCATTTTCATTCATTTCGGGTATGCATTTCATTTTCATTCATTTCACATCGACAAGATTTTGATTTTCACCCATTTCTTTAACCGAAACCAATCCTTCGCCATCCCAAACTTTAGGTGCGGCGTTGCAAAGTAGGAGCACAGCATCATTTCTCAACGCACGCATGCCTCTGATTTCCACTTTTCTCTCCCTCTCTCTTTTTTTTGAACGTAGTATTTCCACTTTTCTCTGACAAAGGATTATTTGGCTCTTTTACGAACTTCCATTCACGCTTCATCTTCTCTATCTAGGCTATGTGGACTCTGCAAGGGCCATTCTTGCAGGGCAGTTCCAGTTCGTGTTCGTCCCTCCCTCAGAGGCTCAGCCCCCCAGTTCACTTTCGCCGCGTCTAGGGCCCCCCTTTTCGTCTTCCCGTGGCCTGCGCACGATGATTGGCATTGCCTTGCAGCTCGAGACGGGTGTTTTCGCTTTAGCCCACTGCGCTGTAAAATATTGCTCGACCATAACCGAAAGGAACGCCGAGCGCTTTCTTTTGCACGCAAGTGTAGTCCTAATGGACATCCAGTCCGCCGAATAATTTGCGCTTAGCGAATCGTAGAGGTCTTGGTAAACAATGGGGTCAACGTACTAGCACATTTGCTATCCGGTGATGGTGAACAGTGTGTGGCATACACGACTCAAGTGCAGGTTGATGCAGCAAGGTTCGGAACTTTTACCGCCGTTGTAGATACCGACCTTTATGCTCAAAAGAAGAACCTACCCTTTTTTTTGTTTGAGGAGGGGATGTGATGCAGCATGATGCTTCATCCATGACACAAGAAAAGAGGGGGGGATGTGATGCAGCATGATGCTTCATCCATAACACAAGGATGCAGTTGTAGTGTAGTAATCTCTATCTACTTACTAAAAGAAAAAAAAAGAATCTTGTGTGTAAATTCTAAATCTAACAGTTGTGTAGTCGGTGAGGATGTTGGAGTCCGACTGCGCCAACTAGCATTGCAGGCCGCATCTTGCGGTTCGCCGTGTGTATGTGTTTCCCGTTTTGCGTTGGTGATGGAGATTTGTCCCAAGACACATGATTCATCGTGATTGTGCACGTTGATCACACCCACCAGGAGGCATTTCAATTCCTCAATGAACACGACTAGACTAAGGGCTTTGTTTGAATCCCATGCAAACAATTAGTTGATAAAAAATTACTCCTTCTAAGATGTTTTGTTTTGAGTTAAATTGCATCAGTGACCTTCAAACTTGGACGTGTCATTTAGGTCTACGAACTTTAAAAATACATTTAATTTAAACTTGTTAAATGGGGACACCATAGGTCCATAACATCCACATGGGTATTTCTTGTTTACGTGGCATGTTAACATGACATGATCCTTTATATTTAACCCCTCTTCTTCTCTCTTCTCACATGAATGGATCCTTATTTCTCTCTTTTCTCATGTCGGCACTAGCCCGTTCGACACCGTAAGTGTCTACGGGCTGCAGTCACCATAAGAGAAGAGGGAAGCAAGGAGAAGAAAGAATCTATTAGTGAGGAAAGAGGAAAAGGGAGCGCTTAAATATAGAAAAATATGCCACATCAGTGTACCGTATCAGCAAGAAATATCCACACGGCTGACATGGATCGGTTGTGCACCACTTAATAAATTTAGGAACCCGAAATGCATATTTAAAGCTTGTAGACCTAAGTGACATATGGTTACAAGTTTGAGGGCCAATGGTGCATTTAACTCTTTATTTTTTCTAGATACATATTTTTTTTCTATATACTTAGATTTATACACTGCATAGTAAAAACAATATATCTAGATTATAATTTAAAATGGAGAGAGTAGCTAAAGTCTTGTTTAGATCCTTAGTTAATAAAAAACCAGTTAATATCTTACCTACCACCAAACTAGCAACTAGTTGGTTTCTTTTAGCTGATCGCACGTGCCACGTGACCAATAATTAGCTGCTAAAAATTAGCTGAGGCCCTGTTTCAACCGTCAGCTAATGTTCTTAACTACCACCCAACTAACAATTAATTATTGTGGGTTTTTTTCTAGTTAACACAAATAATCGTCCTATTCGTTGGGGCTGGTTTAGCTTATAAGCCATGGCTGAAAGTACTGTTGGCTGGTTTGGTGTGAGAGAAAAATAATGCTGATTGGCTGATAATCTATGGTTTATAAGCCAAATACGACCCAGCGAACAGGCTAAATGTTAGTTGTGTGGACCCAAATGGAGGTTAACATGCAATAGACAATTGTTTGTTATAGCCGGTAATTTTCAGCTTCATCCTGCGTCTACTCCTTGTTAGATCAGGTTTATACAATTAATAGTTAGATGAGTGAATTAAAGGGGGGCTAACACGCCAGTAGATAGTAGACTAGTAGAGTAGTACATACCAATGGTTTATACAGAGATCGGATCGCTTTACAGAAGGAGTTGCGGCGACGGATTAAAGAGTTGGAATGCCGCGTCATCACGAAACGGATTCCTCTTGCGGCGTGCCTTTCCAGCCGAAAAAGCCGGAAAAATAGGCCAAACGCAGCCGTCGGATCATCGACGAACGAGGGAGGAAACAAAGCGTGCGGCGGCCCTCTCTTCTTCTTCGTCATCATCATCGTCATCGTCGTCGTCATCATCATCAGATCGAAGAGAAAAACACAAGATGGAAATGGAATGAGAGACGCACGCACCGAACCCAACCCAACCCCAAAGCAGTTGGGAATTGGAATCCCAGGTGGATCCAATTCTGCCAATTGCGAGCTCCTGGCGTCATCGCCCAATTACTTCTCCCCCACGCCGGCCGGAGGAGCCTTCGCGCTCGCTTTGGCACCAGTTCCAAATCCCCCCGTATCTTGGCTGCCCCGGCCGGGCACAAGTATTTTCCATGCATGATGCGTCGCAGGAGTGGGTTTCCCCTATAAAACCCCGCGTAATGCCCCGCTCGGATGGCACGGACGCACCGCGCACTCGGTGGTGGAATTCCTCGCCCACGTCGCTTCTTCCGCCGGCCTCCGCTGCTAGGTGCTAGCTGAGTGCCTGCCTGGGTGTAAGACCTTTCTCCTCTGCTTGTTTCGCGGCTGCGTCGTCGTCGTCGTCTTTGATTCAGTCTGAAAGCTTCCGGTCTTAATTTATTATAATTGCAGTGATCAACACCCTGAAACAAAATACAGTGGTGGACTGAACTATTTAGGTCAACCAAAATTTGCTACTGAGATTAATTCGAGAGGTTGAAACAAAGCTTCCGGTTCTATTTTAACAAAGGGGACTTTCGTCTTTTTCCCCCTCGAAAGTGATTGAGAGCTGCGTGTCTTCTCAACTCACTGAAGAGGATGAGAATTTGGTCTTATTGATTGATCACTGTTTGTTTCTGTTTACATGATTGGTGCATCATGTGATCAACGTGTGTTGCTCCTTTTTCTTCAAATTGTATATTATATATCATGTTTCATTGGCTTCACATGTTGCATTTTTAGTTTTTATAGTACTTTGTCGTATCATTTTGAATGAACTTGTGAAATAAATATATAGACATCACCTTATCTTTCTTCAGATGTCTGCACCTGCAGGATCATGCTTGCATTTGAATGATTTCTTTCATCATATATATGAGAATGCCCTCCTAGCTTATAGTGAGCAGAGAACCAGAAGATTTGGAAGAATCTCTCAAATTCGCCTTATGAGTTTTTTTTTCTAGATCGGGTGTTCAGCCCGTTTTTCATTAAGAGGGAGGTAACCAAATGTTACAAAGTTCACTGCGATAGTGGCGAGGAGCCAATACCGAACACCAAGCACCTAACTACTCTTGAGTTACGAGAGCTTATTTCAATATTCTTTTAGAACTCTACAAGAACAAATGGTATCATAATACAGGCATCCTAAAGTTAGAAGCTTGAATTTTGCTGCATTTCGTCTTACTCTTGAGAGCAAGGGTCTAGGACAGAACATATCTTCTTTTCTCGATTTGTTCTTTTAGAATATGCTCTCGTCTATCGGGTTGGCGAACCCAATCACGAATGCTATCTTATGATCTTATCCTATAACTATGGGAGCAAGCTCACGCGTTACACTACTCTAACAGGTATATATGTTATTTTTTAGGCAAATATATAGGTCTGTTTATTAAAATGACTCTGCCCAGCTTAACTCAGGCCATGTGATCTTGCCAGCACATTGTTTGGCCTATATTGGCATATGCTACACATGCTGCACAGTACAGATATGGCTATGTCATGTGTAATGCATTGTCTGAACTCTGAATATAAGCCTTGATTTGAGGGCAAAAGCAACTTTCCAATCCATGGCAAATTTGTGATTTAGTTGGTATATTATACTAACAGATGCAACACTGAAGGCCTCAATAATTCCACGGCCTCAGCCATGTGCTTTTCAAAACTGAATATCCTCCGTGGTATTTCTGAATCTGCACAGATAATGTTGTCAGTAACATTTATAGTGAAACTTTTTCGCTGCATTAGTCATAATTGCGTCTAACTAAATGGCAACCATGCGAAACTGTACACTAGCAAACATGTAGAAGCGCTGCATACGCATACCTTTTGATTTCTTTTTTTTAGCGATAACGCATATCTTTTGAATTATGTTGGCCATATTTGTACTATGACAACCGTAGTACTCGGTAGTTCTTTGCCTTGTGGCTGTTTCTCTTTTCTTTGCCTGTACAGTTTCTTTAGGTCTCTTGTACGTAACTCCTCTCCTTTATAAATAGAAATTGGCACATCTGGTTCCAGTTCATTAGAATAAAAAGGCAGCCTTAGTTATTTGCTTTATTACTTAAAAGAAAATCTCCTTATGTGCTCTCTTCACGGGCTGAAAATCAGCAATTGAATACTCAGCATGTGACACTGGCTGTACAATCAGTACTGACCTATGTCACCAGGCCAAGTACAATTTGTAGATCTAACCAAGTGGGCATATTTCTATTGCTGCAGTGGAGAGAGACTTTCTTGAGCACCCATTTTTACTGGTTTTACGGCTTAAATGCTGGATGCTTTTATACGAAAAGAACTAAAGAAGCAGTGAGTGCCTGACCTCTTTGGGACTGCCTGAATCATGAATTCATGACCAGATCCCTGAAAAGAGATCAGCCTCCAACACAACAATGGTAAAGGATTGGTACCTTCACATAGCTTGACAGCAGATTATTCTACCAGAAACGAACGCGTGCAGTTATTTTAGTTCCCAATCACCCGTATGCTGTATATATAAAGTTAATAAAGTTGTTCTATAGGGAAGTAACCGCGATTTGTCACTACTATCATCTCTGTACTTTCTTGACCAAACCAAACCTCACCAAGCGGCTATATATAGTAGACCTGCTAACCTTGAAACTCCTCCAGAGCTTGGACAGCCTCTCCTCGGTAACTATATTTTGTTGTTCCTTGGGAAGATAGAAAAATATACCCTTGGTTTTCTTGAACAGGTTTGATTTGTTTATGCCTCTTCTAGCTCTTGTAGTAAGGCCTTTTGGGTTCTTGCTCATTCCATTGGGCTTCCAGATTCAATTTCAGGTGTGTTTCTGAAGGGAAATTTCGTCGAACAGGATGAATGCATTGGCAGCAACCAGCAGGAACTTCAAGCAGGCAGCTAAGCTGCTGGGCCTCGACTCCAAGCTGGAGAAGAGCTTGCTCATTCCATTCAGGGAGATCAAGGTGATAAAACCACCACAGTTCTTTTAGATCTGGTAAACTGTTTCCCGCTGTTTCACTTGCTCAGGGTGGTTCCTCTGTTTCCCGCTGTTTCACTTGCTCAGGGTGTTTCCTGTATTCCTGATGATGACCCCCCCCCCCCACACACACACAAAAAAAACATTACTTAACCAGGATCAGTATTTTATAAGGTTCTTCTGGGCTTTCCCTCATCTGAAACAGTATGTTCAACTTTTGAGTAACTAGCAATTTGTGGTTTCAGGTTGAATGCACAATCCCAAAAGATGATGGGACTTTGGCATCCTATGTTGGATTTAGGGTTCAACATGACAACGCTAGGGGACCTATGAAGGGCGGAATCAGATACCACCATGAGGTTAGCAAATATGTTGCTCCATTCTTTTGTTATCTGTAACACTAGTCAGCATTTGATTCTTTCCACACCTTTGCCGACCTGAAATGGTCCTTAAGCATAAAGGCTTCATACAATCGTTAAGTATAAATTCTAGTTTTTTTCAGGAATCTGCCATAGGCAGCATATCTCAGTGGATCATGTTAGTTTTGAGATATCTCCCTGAAGAAATGAAAAACAAAAGTATATCGAATTGTTTCTTGAGACCAAGTATAAGTATATTGAAAACTGGGAACAACAAAACAATATCTGAGCTATATGGGGTTGCATTCTGGCTCTATTTCCTTAAGCACAAATCTGCCATACACAAACATATCTCAGTGGATCATGTTAGTTTTGAGATATCTCCTTGAACAAATGAAAAACAAAAGTGTATTGGATTGTTTCTTGAGACCAAGTATAAGTACATTGAAAACTGGGAACAACAGAAAATATGGGGTCGCATTCTGGCTCTATTTCCTTGAGCATAAAGAGATGAAATGGTCCTTAAGCATAGATTCTTAGTTTTTAGGAATCCCATGTATTGCTGAAATATTGGATTTCCACTATCTACTTAGGGACAACTCACAATATCCAAGTTATATGGGTATATGATTCTATCCATTTCCTTCAAATTTATTTTCCTCTTTATTTAAGACACTTGGAAATCCGTTAGTGAAATCTGGTCCTGACATTTAAAATTCTTTAACTCAGGTTGACCCTGATGAAGTCAATGCCTTGGCACAACTGATGACATGGAAAACAGCAGTGGCTAACATACCATATGGAGGAGCTAAAGGTGGAATAGGATGTAGCCCTGGAGACCTGAGCATCTCCGAGCTTGAGAGGCTTACCCGAGTTTTTACTCAGAAAATCCATGACTTAATTGGCATCCATACTGACATTCCAGCTCCAGATATGGGCACCAACTCACAGGTTATTTTCTTTTATATATTATTTCATATTTTTTTGAACAAAAATATTATTTCATAAATGACTTTGATGAGAATTAGTTATCTGTATATGTTTATTTTAATATGGCCAATTTTGTTTGTTTATGGATGTAGACAATGGCATGGATACTTGATGAATACTCGAAGTTCCATGGTTACTCACCAGCTGTTGTGACAGGAAAGCCTGTTGTAAGTAACTATCTATATCGCAGTTTCAACACATATATGTACTGAAAAAATATGTTTCCAGATCAAAATCGTAAAATAATGTGAAGATTTCTAAAAAGGTGGTCAAATTAGGAATTTTATCAAGCACAATCCATTGGAATTTATCTAGGATGCAACAAGATTACGTGTTTAGCAGGAATAATGATTATTTGGACAGTATACTCAGTATACTCTTCAGAGGATGCTGGCTTACCTTCTCATTATCTTGCATGTATTGTGAATTTCCTGCTCAACACACAGGACCTTGGAGGATCGTTGGGAAGAGATGCAGCTACTGGAAGGGGAGTTCTGTTTGCTACTGAAGCTTTGCTTGCAGAGCATGACAAAGGCATTGCAGGCCAGCGTTTCATCATACAGGTAAATGATGTGTAGGTTAAGTCTTACCTTTTAAAAAATTCACATCAGAGAAAATTTCGTACTCCATCAATTGTATAATATGTGCCTTTCGGCTCTGGTTACAAGAACAATTCATGATTAAGGTTACCTTGTCAGTTTATCATTGAAAATCAGTCACACCTAAACATTTTATCTGCAAAGGTTATCTCTTGAGTAAAAGGTGACTTGTTCACCCTTTTCAGGGATTCGGTAACGTTGGTTCCTGGGCAGCTCAGCTGATCAATGAAGCCGGTGGCAAGGTGATTGCTATCAGTGATGTCACGGGCGCTGTCAAAAACGTCAATGGCCTTGACATTGCCCAGCTAGTGAAGCACTCGGCGGAGAACAGAGGGATCAAGGGCTTCAATGGGGGAGATGCCATCGATCCAAACTCATTGCTCACTGAAGAGTGCGACGTCCTCATCCCAGCAGCGCTTGGGGGAGTCATAAATAAGTAAAATTCTTCTCATTACAGTCATTTTCACCCTACTGAAAAGTCGATTATTTTCAGTTATTATATCCTATAATAGTTGTTCCTGCGACTTCAGGCCTGAATAAATTGTTCACTTGCACCATTTTTTGACAGGGATAATGCTAACGACATAAAAGCAAAGTACATCATCGAGGCTGCCAATCACCCCTCAGACCCAGAGGCAGACGAGGCAAGTTGATACCTTAACAGTTTCAGAGAGAGTGACAGTGAAGAAACCGACTGTTTTCTGCAATGTTTTCTGATCCCTCCCCCTGTATTCCATCCCATCCCCAGATCCTGTCAAAGAAAGGCGTCCTCATCCTCCCCGACATACTCGCCAACTCTGGGCGCGTCACAGTGAGCTACTTCGAGTGGGTTCAGGTCCGTAGTTCTTCTCCTTTGAGCTGCCCATCTGTCACCGCACAGTGTTCCTGTGCTTCCACACAGACTACAGAACACTTGTAATGTAAACTGAACCGTGGCAGTGGGCACGTGCTTTGGATTGTTCAGAATATCCAGGGGTTCATGTGGGACGAGGAGAAGGTGAACGCGGAGCTCCGGACGTACATGACGCGCGCCTTCGGGGACGTGAAGGAGATGTGCCGGAGCCACAACTGTGACCTCCGCATGGGCGCCTTCACGCTGGGCGTCAACCGCGTCGCGCGCGCCACCGTCCTCAGGGGATGGGAAGCATGATGATACCTCTGCATTGTGCTTGGCATCGTGTCCTCTTTGAGCCTTGTTTTTCTTTGGTTATTATATATCGATCGATCAATGGAGGTCCGGGAAAAACAAGTTCGGTTAATAATTCCAAGAAGAAGTGTGTCTTCTTGGAGATCAGTAGCGGAAGAAGAGTAATAAGTCTGTAATTCGTAGCTGAGATGATGCTTGTTGGTGGTCTGCAAGCAGCAATGCCATTTCGTTTTCTTGCACAACTTTGGGTCATCCAGCCACGTTATGGAATAGTATATGCAAATCCATTTGTTGCAGATATATTAGCCTATATGTAATGGTCTCACCACACTCTTGAATCTTGTTACATCCGTGTGGATGATAGGACCTGCCTGTCGTTGACCACGCCCTAGATCCGTGGTGGATCTTCTCTGCGGTACTGAAAAGGATTTGTTTCCAGAATAGCACGGTGTAAATCCTGGCTCTAGCCGTTACTCAGGTCTCTTCTTTTATTTGTTTGTTTATGGGTGCGTTGGTTTTACCACGACATTCAAATTGGGGCACACAATCTGGTAAGCAGGTGTTTCTGCAGCAGCACGTGCGGTGCCAAACAGAAAACAGAAAACACCACTGAGCTCCATTACGAATTGACACTTTGACAGGTGAGCCAAAGACACCAGACTTCTGGCACAGGCACAGCCCATGTCCACCAGAAAACAGACGTTCATTCCCATTGCGAGTTTCATGCATCACGCATAAAGCAAAACAACAAAATTCACTGAACAAATCTTCAGCCTTGAGGGACACAGTGACACGTACTACGCTGGTCGCTGGCTGGCGCGATGCGTCGTCTGATGCTGACGAAATTGCCACCAGACAAAGGCACTGGTTGCATCAAAACGCACTGCCAAGTCCAGGTCCATCGGGCATGGACAAGTGGTACGACCTCTGCCAATGCATTCGGCACCAAATTTGCTCCAGTTGCTAGTTCGCACGCTGAAACGCACGAGCCACGCGTTGTCACACCTCTCGAGTCTTGGTCACTCAACGAGAGGGTCGGTAGAGATGACGCTGTAGACGACCATGTCCCTGACCCTTCCCTTGACCACGCAGTAGCTCCGCAGCACGGCCTCCCGTTGGAACCCGGCCTTCTCGAGCACCCGCCGCGCCGCCGCGTGGTCGACGTCCACGACCGCCTCGACGCGCTCCACGCCCAGGAGGTCGCCGAACGCCGCGGCGACCGCGCGCTTCACCGCCGCCGTGGCCACGCCCTTGCCCCAGTGCGCGCGCGCCAGCAGGACGCAGAGCTCCGCGCGGCACGCGTCGTCGGTGGGCGTCACGGACACCGCGCCCACGGGGCGGTGGGGTCCGTGTCCGTCGCCGACGCCGCCGAGGCAGACGGCGCGGAACCATGGGTGCGGCAGCACGGCGTCGCGCAGGAACGCGAGGACAGCCTCCCGGGACGTGTAGGCGTCCCACGTCATGAACGCCGTCACCTCGGGGTCAGACGCCCACTCCATCATCGCGTCGACGTCGGCGAGCTCGAACCGCCGGAGCGTCACCGCGGGCACGGACCCCGGTTGGGCAGGCGCTTCTTGCTCCATCTCTGAGCTTCCGGTCCGGCGCGTTGCTTTTGCTTGGTGGTGACCGGTGATGCTCAGTCACTAGTGGAGGCTTTGCGTCCTGTCTCAGCTTTCCAGCTTTCAGCCACACTAATCAAATCAAAGTGGTGGTGGGGCACACAATCACATAAGTGTGTAGGCCCCACGCCAGCACTTAGTTTATCTGGATTAGGAACAGAGTGACGTGTTGGATTGATCAGTGTTTGTTCTCTGGGCAATCGCTTCCACCTGTCGCATTTGGTATGGCATCACGCTCATAGACACGTATACGTGTCGTCGAGAAGCTTTCCTCGAGGCGCCAAGCGGCGAAGCAGGTGTTCTTGGTGTTGCAGCAGATGCAAAGCACCACGTGCGGTACCAAACAGCAACTCTTTGAATCTTTGGTCCCAAACATAGACACCAGCCAAAAACATGCTGGCACGGCCACTTTTACATGATTGCATCGGTACATATTGTTCCGTATGTAACAAGAATTGTGAATATACACCAAAAGTTCTACTCCATAGATCGAAAGATGAGATGCTAGGAGCTGAGATCGAGATGATGCATGGAGGAATCCGGCACGGGGATCATTCGGGGAGGGGGTCGTCGGAGAGGAGGCTGTACATGACCATGTCCCTGGCGCGTCCCTTGTGCCAGTAGTGCCGCCGCAGCACGCCCTCGCGGCGGAACCCGGCCTTCTCCACCACGCGCTGCGACGCCGGGTTGCCCACGTCCACCAGCGCCTCGACGCGCCGCAGGCCCTCCGGCTCCAGGTCCGCGAACACGTCCCGCAGCGCGCGCCGCACGGCCGCCGTCGCCACGCCCTTGCCCCAGTGCGCGCGCGCCAGCACGTAGCCGAGCTCCCGGCGGCAGCGCTCCGACGTGGGGGACACGGACACCGCGCCCACGACGGCGCCGGAGACGCAGATGGCGCGGAACCACGGGTGCGGGAGCACGGTGTCGCGCAGGAACGCCAGCAGGGGCTTCGTCGACTCGTACGGCTCCCACCGGCAGAAGGCCGCCACCTCAGGGTCCGACGCCCACGCCATCATGGCGTCCACGTCGGACAGCTCGAACTTCCGGAGCGTCACCTCGCCCACGGTTACCTTCGCCGTGCCGGCCTTGACTTCTTCTTGGGTTCTTGGCGTCGCCGTGGCCTCCATTGCTGAGCTTTTTTCTTGGGCTCTGACGGATGTCTCGATGCGGCAGTGCAGCTGCTCGCCTCTGTTCATATACTTCCAGTTCGAGTGGATGAGGCAGGCAACTTCGTCTGACTTTGACCAGAGAGAAGGAGAGTTTTGATCGGCAAGCTTGGTGTAGATTAGCTTATGCAAATTGGTGTCGCGCATGTGGTATGAGCCATCGCCTTCTTGCGGGAAGGAACGAGGAAGCCGGGAGAAGGAAGGCGTGAGGTGTGGCTCGTGGCTGCATACAGATACAGGTAAGTCAAACGGTCAACTTGACTGTGACTTCTTTACTTCTCTATATAAGAGTCTCGGAAATACGTAAATCCGATTGACCTGTTCAATTAACAGCCAAACACATCTTCATCATGACATCAATCCTGAGAGACTACAAATCACATCCTCCATGGAGCTTCAACGCGTGAACAAACAGCTAGCGTGATCGCTAATTGAAAGTGCCCAAGTGCACATCAGCGCAAGAGTGTTGTGTCCCACTGAATCCTGGAGCGACAAGACAAGTACCTCCCAACCGTGCAAATTGACCGTCCATGACGAACACAAGAAGCTCTCGCGTCTTAGAAACGATGGAGCAGCGCCAGTGCAGCGGCGGCGAAGACGAAGAACGTTCCTGGTTTGCTATCGTTTCCGTCAGAGTATGGAAGGGTGGATGCTGGTGTAGCCTTCGACCCAGACCCTACAGTGTCAAAAATTCAGAGTTCAAGTCTTCACTGTTAACCGTTAAGACAACGTCTCCTTGGGCTCACCCAATCTATTCAAAGTATGTACGGCTCGGCTAGTCCTGTACCTGCAGGGGTGACGTTGGCGTTAGACGGCGCCTCCGCGGCTGGAACCCCGGGTGTGGTCGTCCCCGGCGCCGGAGACGGCAGTGGAACTCCCACGGCTGCAAAAGCGCTCAGCAATTTTAGCTCGCCATTCTCAATTCTCCGCCGTGCGGCGTGCCCGTGCGAAACTACCACGATCATTGGATTCCCTCGATTGTCAGGACCGCTTACCGTTGCACTGGCTGGCAGGTGGGGCCTGGACCTTGCACGCCGCGGGCAGCTGCAGCGCGCGGTCGCCGTCGACAGCGACGCCGAGCGACGCGGCCGTGCCGCCGACCACCATGCAGAGGCAGCCCGGGCTGGACCGCAGCATGCCCGACACGGCCGAGCAGCAGGGCCCGTCGGGCGCCGTCTCGTTGCCGGACATGTAGTCCATGCACGGGTTCAGGCTGACGAGCTCCGGCATGCAGCCCGGACCGGACGGCGTCTGCTGCGCCGCGCACTGCCACGCCAGGACCCCCGCCGCCACGAGGGCCAGGGCAAGGCCGCGCGCGGCGGCGTGATGATAAGCTGCCGCCATTGCTGGCTTCGGTTGACTGGCGAGAGCGTGTCTTCACATCGAAAGTGGTTGTGCTATGATTTGTAGTGACGATCCTGTTCTTGGCAGGTCGAAACTTGTTGAATTGGGTGCCCTGTTGCTGTTGTCGTGCCAGGGCAGGTAAGCAGGTTAGGAATCACCACCCGAGCTTTTGGACGTTTTTGACTTTTTGTTGTGTTTGGTCAACGTCTCGCCAAATCTTCCGCACGTCTAGAAGTAGAAACTCTGCAATCGAAAGGAGCAATTCGTAGTGTTGTTTCATATTCTAAGTGCGTAGACACAACAAATATGATGTGAACTGTTGATTTTATGAACAACGTCCTCTTTTATCTTCAGTTTAGCAGCCTGTTCGGGAGGCCGTATCGTATCGTGGATTATTTACTGCTGGCTGGTTTGGTGTGAGAGAAAAACATTGTTCCCGGCTGGAAATTTACGATCGTTTACGAACAAGCGAACAGGCTGTGACAATTAGCACTTAAGAAAAAGAAAGATACTAAAGATGGTTTATAGTTTTTAAGCCAACATTAAGATCAACATTTTTGTAATCTGACATTAACATTTGACATTGGTATCCTAAATATTTTTGTCTGACACTTCCACAAGTACCCGGACAATAAGGCATTGAATGGCATACCGTTTGGATCGGTATTGTACGTTCCATATTGAAGGAAAGTTACGCTGTGACACTGAATAAGATCCAATGGTTCACATGGTCAGATGGACACAATAGAGTACAACTTTTATTTCGCGAACGTGCCGTGTTGCACGTATTTCATTAAGAGAAAGTAGACAATACCGTACCAAACAATAAACGGCTCAACACTAGGTAGACAAGGAGAAGGAAGAAAACAGAAGCGAAAAAATTAAAAAAAAACTACGACGAAGCCCGTCTACTACCACAAGAGGGACTAAAAGCAACAACGGGCTGAGCGACAGCGAGCTAGTAAACTAGGCCATAGGCAACGATTGGGTGACCTAGAGCGGGTACCCAGAGGTAGGCTAAACCTCGAGGTCAACCCCCTCCACCAGCTGGATGCCCTCAATCGCGCAGCCTACCGGGAAGAGTGTCCTGATTGCCTCGCGCTAGGACTCCGAGAGAGGCCCGCCGAATAGGGCCATTTACTCATTGAAATCGCCCTCCGCATCGGCTTGCGGCGCTTGATCCTGCTGGCGGACTCCCCATTTTGCCATCAACACGTTCTGGGCTTGCACGATCGGGTTGGAGGCTCTGCATCTGCTCTTGGCTGCCAGCCTCCCGCTACGACGTGGCGGTGAGAATGTGCATTCAACCGCATGACGCCTCCTAGGAACACGGAGACGTGGATGTTCGACCAAGATCGGCTTCGTGATGGCAGAGCAAAGCTACGACTGTAGACACTGCGAGATGGCACTTGGTGACACCGGAGCTGGCGCCACAACCGCCGCCGCACCCATGGGCGTCAAGGCCACAGGTGGGGAAGGAACTCTGGATGGCGTCCTCGCGTGGTCCGAGTGCTCCTCGTCCGAAGAAGGGGCCGAGCGAGATGGGCCAGCGAGCTCCACTGTGACGCAGTCGGCCCACCAATAGGAGGAAACAACCTCCAGATGTGCCCGCCCAGATGCTTCCCCAAGCTTGGGTCCCCCTGTCCCTCCTCAATGAAGTTCAGGGTCAAACAAGAGTATCCGGCCCACCAGCCCAAACGTGCTGCTCCCAGGTGAGAACGCCCTGAGCAGGTGGGGCGAGGGGCTCGGCAGAATCAACCATGGCTTGGTGACCTTGATCCCCGAGCCGACCAAAGTCAGCGCCGTAGCCTCAAGTAGCATGGGGGCCTCTCCCACCTGTTGTACTACACCAGACGTGGCCTTCCTGCAGCAAAGCTGGCGGACATCAGCAATGCATGGAGCAACAGTGTCTGCAACTGACAGAGCTCTAGGTGCACACTCCCGAGGCCACGGCGATGCGACATCCGGGATCTCGCGTGGCCCACCAATCACGACGCTCGCCCCCGTGGGGCTAGTGTTTCCCACAAATAGAGCCGAAGAGCCTTCAGGCACACGCAGCATCATAGGAGATGGGCTCGGCGGTACCAGCAGCCGGCAGACGCCCTTGGCACCCAAGGCAGAAGTCAGCGCTACAGCGACTGGTGTGGCCGGCATGGAAGTCAGCTGAAAAGGAGATACATCAGCGGGGTGTGGAGCAGTGTTCGATAGTGATGGGGCCTCAGGCACGCGCTCCCAAGGACGCACAGGCGCACGCACTCGAGGCTGCGGCGACGTGACATCCGGAATCTCGTGTGGTCCACCAATTGTGACGCCCGCACGCATGAGCCCATGCCTGCCAGGGACCAGCGGGCAACAAACCGTCCCGACCAGTACGGACGGCCTTGCCAAGGCGGTCAGGTAAGACGGCGACGAGCAACCACAACAGCGATGGTCGATCCTAGGATGATAGCGGTTAAAGTTGCTATCGGCAGAGCCATCGTCGTCGCTGTCGCGCCCGCCGGAGTAGTCATCCTCAGGGGTCGGTCCCCGTGGCGGGCCGTCGCACCCATCATGAACCCCATGGTGGAAGTTGTCATCGCTTGGACCGTCGTCTTCATTAACATCACCCCCATCATGGCCATCATCCGTAGGGGACGTAGGTGGTGTGTTCCAATCTCGAACGCGACCGAGCCTGACCTCATGAGGGCGCAGCCACCGAAGCACGGTCGAGCGGCCTCCATGGAAATTTGGGGATGCGGGGTCCAGGATGAACATGACCTTTCATGCCGGGGATGAACCGTGGATGCAAACACCATCTTGTGTGACGAAAAAATTCAGGTCGTCATCCGCCGAGACATCGCTTGGCCGGACAACATCAACCTCAGCACAAGCGGGCCCGAGGATGGTCTGCGACGTGGTCGTGTTCCGGGCATGGAGGGGGACGCGCCTCATCCCCACCAGCACCCTAAACCGGAACAATCCAAAGATCGCCTAACGACGTCCTCCGCCATGGTCGCCAGGGGTACTTAGCCCGATCCGTGGTGGCAAGGACGAGGTCTCCGTACGACGAAATCCTCTGGATCATGGCATCGAACCACTGCATCCTCTTTTGTCAAGCCAAAGCACTCGAAGAGGAACCAGACCACCATGGCTGGCGACACCGGTGGCCGTGTACCGCCAACCACCGCGACAAGCGCAAGGCCGAGCGCGTCCTCGGTAGCTAGCAACTCCGTTGAACGAGGGATGACGACAAACTCCGTGTGACGCTGGCATGCCGCACGGCTTCCCTCCGTAGCCTCGACGGCCGCCCCCACAGGAGTCACGATGGCGCCAGAGGACAGAGGTGGCGGTGGAGGCGGGGGAGGTGGGGAAGGCGGAGTCGGTGGAGCGCAGCAGCGTGGAACCGATGGCGACCGTCCCATGGAGGCAGACCACGCCGAGGGCATGTCATCATCGGCGCGCCGAGCCCGCCGGCCACCAACCGTCGGCCACCACCGGGAGACCCATCGACCCCTTGGTGATCGCGGCAGAGAGCTCCCACGCTTGGTGCCCGTGGGCCTTACAGGGAGCGGGCATGCAAAGGCGCGGTGCCCATGCACCAACAATTGAAGCACCTTGCTAGGAAGCTACACTCTGCCTTGACATGGGAGCTCGCCAAGCAGTTGAAACAGAGGCCTACCAACGCCGGCGGGACAGGCCTTGCCGGCTTGGGCGGCGAGCGACAACGCCATCGACGGTGACTCTGCACCTGGTAGAAGTCGTCTGCGTCCGGTGTGGCGGAACCGCCCGAAATAACACATCTTCGGAGGCGCTCGTCTTCTACCAGACACTAAGCACCCCGAAAGCAAGCTACATCAAATGGATTCCGTCGAGCACACCCCAAAGGAGAACTCGAATAATCCACATTTTTCCTCCAGGATCCAATAATGAGAACGAGTTTACAATACTTAGTCTATTTCATACAACAAGAGTTCTTAGAAATACATTATTACAATACTAAGTTCAGAGTGCGTAATTTAAACAGCGGAATTACAATAAACATCTAACGGTATAATACAAGGATCCATCTGTGCCCACCAGAAGAATCCTCCACACAACAGCTACTCTTCAAGCTGCACTTGCAACATGGGTGAATAAACCCTGAATACACAATGTACTCGCAAAACTTACCAGACTAGTGGAAAATAATTTCCTGACTCCAAAGAATATAATAAGCTTTATGGTTTACTGGGTTTTCTTTTTGCAAAAAGCAATACTAGTAGTGAATCCTTATGTATGTTTCTTATTAGCAGTCATGATTAGTTCATTATCTAACCATTCTAGGTAAGCACCAGTTTTACTTTCAAGCAAGAGTTGAGCAAACAGATCCATTTCATCATATTTCATATTATAGTTCTTACTACGGTGCTAAATTATAGACAAGTCGTACTAGATTATCCGGCGATTCGTGAATCAATATGCCTAGCTAGGTATCCTTAAACACACGCCCCGCTTGTAACCCAGGTACAAACAGGGCCAACCCATCACTCTCCTATCAAGGGATCTAGGTCCCCATCCAAACTTGGACTTTAAGCCCCCACACCTGAGTCCCGGACTCGGTGTGGTGCTTAGACCTCCACCATCACCGCCTCCAATCAGTCGGTTCAGAAAGAGCCAGACCCCATGACAAGAGAGCAACGAGCCTTCACTGCTCCCATAAACAAGTATGTGCTTAGGATAATAAGTTTGTGACCTAAATAGAATCCAATGAAACAGCCGGTCCTTAACCGGCACGGATAGGGAAAATAGTGTAACCTAGCTATGCCCCATTGACCGCGGGACACAACCTCTTACACCCACAAATACCCGTACCATATCCCTGCCTGATCTCCATTTCTTTTCACCATTTTATCACGAGAGTGATAATAATAATCACCTATTGTGAGTAACGGCAGGTTACTCACGTTACCAAAAAACCTAAGCATAGCAGCTACTCGATCTAAGCTAGTAGAACTCATAGGTAGATATATCTATGCATGTAG